CTCACACAGAAATGCATCTTCAGGTGTATCCGTCCCCAAGATCGGTTCCCAGCGATCGACCTGAAGGACGCGTACTTCCATGTTTCGATCCTTCCGCGCCACAGGCCATTCCTACGGTTTGCGTTCGAGGGGCGGGCATACCAGTACAAGGTCCTGCCCTTCGGGCTGTCCCTGTCGCCCCGTGTCTTTACGAAAGTTACGGAGGCAGCCCTTGTTCCCATGAGAGAACAGAACATTCGCATTCTCAACTACCTCGACAATTGGCTCATACTCGCTCAGTCTCAGGATCAGTTGTGCGAGCACAGGGATTTGGTGCTTTCACACCTCAGCCTGTTGGGCCTTCGGGTCAACTGGGAAAAGAGCAAACTCTCCCCGACGCAGAGGATCTCTTTTCTCGGTATGGAGTTGGACTCGGTCGAACAGATCTGCTTGAACACATTCAAGAGCAGGATGGCGGTCCCACTGAAACACGCCGCTGGAGCTACTCCATATGAGACCGCTGCAGCACTGGCTCCATGGCCGAGTCCCGAGGTGGGGCACCCTTTGGCACCCGCGTCCAGACCTCTGAAAACTTCATGTCTTGTCCCTGGACGGGACGCAGAGGTTCCAAGTGGCCTACCCCAAGAGGAAGTTGATACAATCACTTCAGCGAGGGCACCGTCTACGAGACACACCTACGCTAGGTTGTTGGGGAAGCATGACCTGGTTGTCAGGTTCCTTAAGGGGGAAAGAAGGTTAAATCCTCCACGGCCCCCCTCTATAAAGAGTGACCGACTGAAAGGGAACGTCTCGGTTACGTATGTAACCCTCATTCCCTGAAGGAGGGAACGGAGATGTCACGTCCCGTCGCCACAGCTCCTGTACCACCGCTGAGCGGCCGGGTCACCGGCTCGGCTCCTCAGCGAAAACCTGAATATGCGCTGCATCTGCTGCCTACTTATACTCACACTGTGATCAGCAGCAGCTGGATGCAATAATCGCATGCCAATGTGCATTGGCTCGTTTAGTTTACACTCAAAGTAGATTGGTCCCTCTAAGCGAGATCCCAATTCGTCGGTCATCCAACGTGACGTCTCCGTTCCCTCCTTCAGGGAACGAGGGTTATATACGTAACCGAGACGTTTCATTTCTAGAGTGCTTTTTATTAGAAAAATGTGTATATACTCTTAGCAAGAGATGAAGTCATCATTATTTTTGGTCCTCTTTCCAGAATGTGCTTCTTTTACAAGTTTTTTTGTCAGCTTTTTGGAACATACTTTCATATAGATTGGCTCAAAGATTTTACAGAAATGGACTAAAAGCCACAAAACTAATTTGATTTCATTCCTGAGTTCTGCATTAAAGGAATAGTACCCAAATATTCTGTCATCATTTACAAACCCACATGTTGTTTATTTCTTCTTTGAAATATAAAAGAAAATATTTAGAAAAGGGTTGGTGTTTTCCATTGTAATAAAAAAAATAAAAAAAAACAGAAATTTAAAATGTTTTCTTTTTTACAGAAGAAAGGTTATACAGGTTTGGAATGGCATGACAGCGAGTTTTCATTTTTGGGTGAAGTATGCCTTTAATGTTGATCCCAGCACTGAAATACTCAAGAAGACCAGACAGGGTCCTTGTCAGTAGTCCCTGCCCTGGGCTGGCCTGCCGGGTGAAATCTTACTGGGGTCACCATTAATAACTAATGCTACTGTCTGTCATGGCCACAAGCTATCACTGTCAGCTTTCACAACTTCCGAAGTGTTTGAGAGAGCGAATAGCTACTTACATGCATACATTTTGGTCACAGAAGTATGCCTTCATGATCGCTAAGAACTTCTGCACATCTCTAGGATTCTAATTGTAGCCATTGAACAGCATAACAGTTTGATGGTGTCAAAGTCAATGGTACCCACTGACACTGCACACTACGCACTCGCGTACATCCACACGGTTCAAGCTGTGACCCTCGGTCAGTGTAGTGTACCAAACAGAACTGAGAGTGCTGCTAATGTGTTCCTCCCCCATCAACGTATGACTCATTGTTTTTCACCACTGTTGTACTCTCCATGCCTGCAGAGGCTTTGTTATCTCTATAGCCACACAAAAGAAAACCTGCATCATAAATCTTCATTCCTCTCCTCTTTGTAACATCTTCATTCTGAAACACCCTAAACTCAATGTAAAGATGAAAGCCCAGGGATGTAGTTATTTTACGGTGATTGGTGGGTGTGTGCTTATAGAAAATGTGCCATTGTTGTTATGATTATTTAAATGGTACGTTTATGCACTTGGCAGACGCTTTTATCTAAAATGACTTGCATTCATGCATTGACACCATTATGAACAGTTTGAAGTAGGAAAACTTTGCATAGTAGGAAATATTGTGTAGCATGTTTCACAATACACATTGTGTAGCTTTACAAAAAAAATCGGAATGTTTTTGTTTTGAATTTCTTAATGTCTTAATGCTTTATAGTTGCATTTAGCAGATTAGAGTTGGGCAACAATAAAGTTTACACTTTTTGACAATCATTATATTATATTATATTATATTATATTATATTATATTATATACAAATGTTATTATAGTTTTTTTTTATTATGTATTTTTTTTATTCAATTATTATTATTATTAATTTAGTATAAAAAAAATTTGACGGTGGTTCAGTAATCATTAGAGTATAAATGGGTTTCCCCAAAGACAGTACATCTGTTTTTTACCAACCTTGACACGTCTTCCTTGCCCCATATCCTTACTTTCGCCAGAAAGAAAAGGGGAAAAAATCATGCACATTGACACACATTATGACTGCTGTGAAAGACAAAAACTTATTTGGAATTATGTGGAATAATACAGCAAATATTACATTACAGTGGGATTTATATGGTTTATTTGCATAGATAAGTCTTTATAATGCACACCCTAATTAATACTAACTGCTTTATTTTTTCACCTTCATTTGTTGGTCTATTTCAGATCATCGAGTTGGGGAAAAATGTGAAGAGCTACCACTACATACTAGCAAACCTGGTAAGATAAAATCACACCACTCGTTTCAGCACCAGAGATCTCATGACTAATGCTCAGCATGAGGCTTTCAAATGTCACTGCTACTCTTGATATTACAGGTGATTTGCATATTTTCACTACTGACCAATCGCAAGAAGCTGCTCGCTATGACTAACAGATGAGATGCTATATAAACGTTGCCTGGAGAACTGCTCCGTGAATATGAAAAACTACAAGTGATTTTTGCCATCCTTGTCTGTAAGTGCACTCAACATATGAGAATGGAGGGTTAAATTGATTTAAACTGAAATGATGATAATCGCAGCATTAATATGCTGTGGTGTGCTCCTGGATGGCACACTGCTGAGGATTTTAAATTAAACTGGTCTGGCCGGTTTGTTAGATGTAATTGTAAATGATAAATGATAAAGGTTGCAAAGCAATAAAGAAAGATTTGCAACTGCCTGCTATTTCCATAATTGCCAAATTTTAAGAAGTGTCCTATTTACACTCCGTTTGCATGTGTGGATGTGAAAGTGTGTGTGTGTGTGTGTGTGTGTGTGTGTGTGTGTGTGTGTGTGTGTGTGTGTGTGTGTGTGTGTGTGTGTGTGT